AAGTTAACTGGGTCTGAGGCACAGTTCCCATTTACTGGGAAGTGCATGACAATCTATAGTTTTATAATACTTCCTAATGGGTCTTCCTGCCTCCAGCCTCTCCCTGCTCCAATTCATTCTTCAGACAGCTGTCAAATTGAAATTATTAAAACACAGATATTATTATATCATTCCTCTGCTCAAGGAACTTCAGTAGTTCCTTACCACCCTGAAGAGAAACTACAAAACCACATCTGTTAACATTTAAAACCATTCACAATCTTGCTTCAACATGTCTTTCTAAACTGAGAACACAGTTTACTGTGATCTCACACACATTATTTATCCTCACATATTCTGCATGCCAACTGGCCAACTTGCTGTTTTCTATACATAACATTCAATCTTCAATCTCCAACTCCAAGCCTTTGCATAGGCTGACCACCCCCCCCCACCAAAAATGCTCTTCCTCCCTCCTCTAGCTCCATGCCTTGCACACAGTAGGCACTTACTGTTTGTTTAAATGAATCTGTAAAACAAGGTAGAATTGCACTAGATGATTGATAGAGCCATTACAACTAATTTCTGTGATTATCTGACCCCAAATATTTGTGATGCATAAATACTTACTTCAATATTCACATAACATTATATTTGCTATTCAAATTCAAATTGCTATTCAAATTTTGTTTTAGGTTATTTCTAACAAATGAGCACAACCTCAAGACTTTTGAGGAAGTGAAAAAAAAAACACACTGGTACAAAATGGACAAGGAAAGAAAAGGGAAATAATCCTGCTCAGTGACAATTAAGCACAGTGGCAATTAAGTAATCTTAGTCTTCAGTTTCATTTGGTTTGGGGCTTCCTTTTGTATGAACTAAAGCAAATTGCAACCTCAGAATCTAAAAATTTTAGAGGTAGAGGAGCTTTAGAAGTTATCCAGGAAAAAAAAAAAAAACCTTCATTCTATTCTTTAAGGAATCTGAAGCACAGGGGAGTTGTGATTTATCCAAGATCACACTGCTAGTTCATAGCAAGCTTCTGATTTAAACCCACAACTCTTGACTGTACAATGCTATGCTCACTAAACCATGAACATATAGTGGATCAAGTTAAGGATTCTCAAGATCAATGGAGTTTTTAATAACTCGGTAATTAAAACACACTTGAATTAAGTGTTTAAGAGTTTACATACTTTTTTTCTCCTTTTATGAAGTGAAAGTACTGCATATTTAAAGTAATGAAGGCATGTAAATAATTACAGGTAAATAACATTTTTTAAAATGTGACAATTCACTTTAGCTATTGACTCTCAAACATTTTGAAATAATATATAGAGTTCACCTATATAAAAATTTTAAATCATCAAAATTAATACAGTCATGATGTATTTGGTTTTATGCTTCTTTTTAGAAGGCCAATGGTTTAAAGAAAAAATTAATGATATAAATAATATTTGCTTGAAAATCTGCACACTGAATAACAACAAACTGAAAATCTGTTATTCAGAAATTAACAACTACTAATAATGTAACAAATACAAGAAATATATGGATTATTTTCTCCAAAAAACAATCACTTGTAAAAATCAAAGTAGTCTGGCAGGTGAGGAAGAATAGTTTGCAACAATTTTAATTTGTTATTGACTAATTTCATTGGTTATTATTTTGTGCTCTAAAATATTTGACATCTTGCCAATATAAACCCATGAGCAAAACACAAATTGATTAAGGATTTATCTGATACATGTCTTGGCTACTTCATCCATTGGCCACTATAACTAATATAAGAGAAATGTAAGAGTTGCTTTAGGCAACTCTCTAAAATACAGAAGTTACTAATCTGGATCATTGTGGGACTTTTTTGAATAGAGAGGTAACCACATGTATGAAATCACAAGCCCAGTCAAAAAATTAAAATTAAAATGCAAGAACTTCACAATTTTTTCATTTGCTTTATACTTCCTCTTTTATGGTCACTTCTCTATACTGAAGTCCAAAATTTCCCTTTCTTGTTTCATACAATTCTCTTCATCATAAATAACCATTTTCTGAACACTTAAATCACATTAACTCAACAAACAATAGACCTGGAAGGTACTTTGGACATTACCTGGTCCAGGCTGCTGCTCAATTTAAAGATGAGAAAGCTAAGGCCTAGAGAAGTTGAGTTACTTGCCTAAGTTCATAGAGTGAATTAGTGGAAGAATTTAGTTTCCCTACTTGCTCTCTTATTTCCTCAAAAACATACCTCCAACTTAAATCACAGATAGTTAGAACTGTGTGCTACCTCAAAAATTATCTAGTCCAAATCCAACAATTCACAAGATGAAAGCCAGGAGAAGGGAAATAATTTAACCAAAATCACAAAAATTAGTGGTAAGGTTGGAACTCAAATTCAGATCTCCTAATTCTAGTCAATAGTCTTTCCAACATGCCATAAGTCTTCAAGAAAAACTCCTATTCTTATTCTAGACTAGAGATTCACTCCCCTTAACTCTAAATTGTAAAACAGTAGGCCAGATTCAAGTGAGTAATGAAGCTTTGCTGGAGAAGGAAATGGCAAACCACTCCAGTATCTTTCCTAAGAAAACCCCAAATGAGATCACTAAGAGTCGGATATGACTGAACAATAACTATGAAGTGTTGCCTTTTTTTTATCCCTATCATTCTACCAAGGCAGAAATCTTACCATGTTTCCACACAATACCTTTAACCCAAAATCTGCCTAGAAATGCCTCATCTTGTGTAGCTAAGCTAAGCATAAAATGTATTCAAGCCTATCTTAAAACTCAAAGTTCAAGTTTCATAGGAAAAATATGTATTCAAAGCCCGCTTACACCCACAAACAACCCTATCTTTAGCTATCTGGTTAAAATAGAAAGAATGTGGAGTGGAGCTAGGAGATGGAGGAAGGGCTCTTGGACTAAGGAAAGGGTGAGCTATAGGTAGGAAAAATGAGTTAGACCAGAACAGAGATATGTCAAACTCAAAGCCCCGAGGCACAAGTCTTCCACAAAACTGATTAGGCCAGAACCAGGTTAAAATGTAACTGGGCAATGTTTAACAAAATAAAATTAAAATACATTATTGCATTTGGATTTGTAATGGATGCTGATTTGTGGTTTTCTAAGTCAATATGCCACCTGCAGGGACCCATTTCTACTTGAGTTTGATACTACTGGAAGAGTGATGCAAGTATTTTAAAGGGGGGAATAGAAAAAAGGGAAATTAGAGGGATCTCTTTAACTAGCAGAAGAGGTTTCAAATTTGGTGGGGAAGACGGAGTTAGATGAATCCCTCAGACTGAGGAAAGAGTTTCAGACTTACATCTGTCTGAAAATGCTGGTATGGGGAGAAGAATTAAGCTGGGAGAGTTTGGGGCATTTTTAGCTGCTAAAAAGGAAAGGACTGAAAGAGGACAGGGAGATAAGGAGAAAAAAAGGTATCTATGGATAAGGAGAACAGCTAAGTGGTACAGTGGATAGAGTGCCATGCCTGAAGTCAGGAACCAGTTCATTTCTGGTTTCATATTCTTGTGACCCTGGGCAAGTCATTTAACTCCATTTGCCTCAGTTCCTCATTTGTAAAATGAGCTGGGGAAGGAAATGGCAAACAATCCCAGGATCTTTGCCAAGAAAATCCCAAATAAGCCCACGAAGAGTTGGACATGACTGAAACAACTGAATGACAACAAACAGGATAAGGAAGGTAATTCAAACCCCTGGTGCTAGAGTTAAGGACATGAATTCTGAAGATGGAGATGCACTGTTATATGCTGATTGAAGGGGGATAAAAAGGAAAGGAAAAATCTAGCAGGATGACCCTGACTTTACTTGGCCTAAGGAAGGGGTCTCTAATTTGATGGAGAAGATGGAGTTACAAGTATTTCTTGTATTATGTAGAGTTTCAGACTTATATCTGTCTAGAAATGTTAGGTAGATGAGTTAGGCTGGGAGAGTTGCAGTCATTTTAAGCATGTAAAAAGGAAAGTTCTTTACAACATGACTAACATGAAAATAGGTTTAATATGAATATGTTGACCCTATATCAATTCACACACCATCTTGGGGCAGACGAAGGGAGGGGGGGGAGAAAATCTGGAACTCAAAATCTTATAGAAGTGAATCTTGAAAACTAAAAATAAAAATAATAGATTTATGTAAAAAAAAGTTGAGGTACATTTCAGAACTTTTGACTTTTAAGGATGGTTCCTGTGACTTTCAGAAGATTTCATATTTTGCATGCAAAAATGTGAAAATATATTATATCTGTAACCTTTTAAAAAAAAGGAAAGGAATTGGGGAGGGAGGGAGATAATGGAAGAAAAAGGATCTATTCAAACTTTTCAAACCCCTGGACCTCACTGAGGAGTTAAGCTAGAAGAGGGAGGTTCAAGTGTTATAAGCCAATTAAATAAAAAGAAAAAAGGAAATTCAGAAGGATGGAGAAAGACCTCTCTAAGACTACTAAAAACTTTGGGGGATGGGGGTAGAGGAAGAATGAAATCAGAGGGCTCTCTTCCACCAAAGAAGGAGTTTCAGACCTCACAGCTGCCTGGAAATGCTATGGATGAAGACATAAACTAGGCTGAGGAGTTTCGGCCATTTAAAGTTGGCATAAAAGGGTGGAAGGAGGAGAAATAATGGAAGAAAAAGGGTCCACGACTAAGGAAGAAATTTCAAACCCCTGGAACTAGGAGTAGGGAGATGATCTAGGAGGCTGCTAGAGGGGAAGAAGCAAATGATAAAAGGTGGTCGGGAAAAAAAAAGAAGGAAAGGAAATCTAAGAGGATGCAGGGGGAGGGGTCTGGGGAATTGCGCCAGTGTTCGCGGCTGGCTGCGGGAAGCTGTGTGGCAGCTCCCCTTTCCTGAAGGCACCCTTTCCCGATGGAGAACAGGTCTGGGCTATCCTCTGAGGGGGTGGGCATACAGATCCAGCGAGCTTCCAAGCCAGGGTTTGGGGTCACAGGAGAAGGAGGCTCCCTCAGAGGACAGCTCTCCCTCCCGACCAGCACTTACCTGCTGGACCAGGTAGTGGGTCTCGTAGCTGAGCCCCACGGCGGGGGCGGGGGCGCGGCTGGGCAAGCTGGACAGCCGGAGGCTCTGGGCGGCCCAAGGCAGGTGGGGGGCAGCAGCCGCGGGGTTCGGCAGGCCCAAGGCGAGGAGGAGCAGAGCGGAGGAGACAGCGGCGGCGATGAAGGCCCGACTGCCCATGGCTCCCGACACCAGTGAGGCTAGGGGCGCCGGGAGCCAGAGCGGGATACAGAGCGGCACTTCCTGCTGCTCCGCCCCGGCCCAGCCGGGAACCAATCCTGGCCCCAGGGCGGGAGTGGCCCCGCCCCCTTACCGCCCACCAGGGAGTAGCCCCGCCCACCGGGCACCAGGAGCGGGCTTGGCCCCACCACCAGACTCCCAATGAGGACGAAGCCCCGCCTATGGCGCCCCCAAATAAGCGAATGGCCCTGCCCACCAGGCACCAAAGGATAGCTCAGTCCTATCCACCAGACTACCAAGGAGGAAAAAGGCCTACTTACCAGGCCAGGAAAAACAGGAATTAGCTTGCCCACCAGGCCCACCCATTCCTTCGCCTCCCCCCTCCCCATCCTTCTCCTCCTGTCACCTGGCCACACATATAGGTTTCCTATGTGTCATTCCCCTCAACCCCACCCCTACTACAATAAGGCTTGTGGAGGTAATGAAATTCCAGATGAGTTATTTAAAATCCTAAAAGATGATGCTGTTAAATTGCTGCACTATTCAGTATGCCAGCAAATTTGGAAACCACACCTATGACCATTGGATTTGAAAAGATCAGTTTATGTTCCAATTCTAAAAAATGGCAAAGCCAATGAATATACAAATTACTGAGCAATTGCGCTCATTTCACACATCAGCAAGGTTAAGTTTACAAATGTGCAAGCTAGGCTTCAGCAATATGTGAACTGAGAATTACCAGAAGGGCAGGCCAGTTTCCAAAGAGGCAGAGGAACTAGAGACCAAATTGCCAACATTTGCTGGATTATGAAGAAAACAAGGGAGTTCCAGAAACACATCTACTTCTGCTTCATTGGCTACACTAAAGCCTTTGACTGTGTGGATCACAACAAAATGTGGCAAGTCCTCAAAGAGATGGGAGTACCAGATCATCTTACTTATCTCCTAAAGAACCTGTATTCGTCCAAGAAGCAACCATTAGAACCAAACGTGGAACAACTGATTGGTTTAAGACTGAAAAAGAAGTACGACAAGGCTGTATATTGTCACCTTATTTATTTAATTTATAACGTCATAGAAAATGCCAGGCTGGATGAATCAAAAGACAGAATTAAGGTTGCTGGGAGAAATATCAACAATCTCAGATATGCAGATGATATCACTTTGATGGCAGAAAATGAAAAGGAATTAAGAAGCCTTTTGATGAAGGTGAAAGAGGAAAGTGTAAAAGCTGGCTTGAAGCTTAACCTAAAAAAAAAAAACAAAAAAAAAAAACCTAAGATCTTGGCATGTCCCATCACTTCCTGGAAAATAGAAGAAGAAGAAATGGAAACAGTATCAGATTTTATATTCTTGGGCTCAAAGATCATTGCAAACAGCTATGGCAAATCTGGACAGCATACTAAAAAGCAGAGACATCACCTCAATGATAAAGGTCTGTATAGTCAAAACTATGGTTTTCCCAATAGCAATATATGGCTGTGAGAGTTGGAATGTAAGGAAAGCTGAGCACAGCAGAATTGACACTTTCAAATTGAGGTTCTAGAAAAGACTTTTGAGAGTCCCTTGGACAACAAGGAGATCAAATCGGTCAATACTTAAAGAAATTAATTCAAGCTATCCACTGGAAGGTCAAATATTGAAGCTGAAGCTTAAATACTTTGGCCACATAATGAGAAGACATGTCTCATTGAAAAAGACCCTGATGCTGGGAAAGATTGAAGACAAAAGGAAAAGGGGGCAGCAGACGATGAGGTGGATGGTGTCACGGAAGGAATGAACATGAGCTTAGACAGATTTCAAGAGAAAAGGCTCTGGCATGCTATGGTCCATAGGGTTACAAAGACTTGGATATATATGACTGAATAACAATAACAACTTATTCTCTGTTGTCATGCCATATCCATTTCCTTATTGCCATCTCCAACCCCACCCCTCCATGTCACTTCCCAAACTTTACCTGTATTTTAGGTCATTTCTATACACTAGTCTTTACTGTCATCCCATATCCTATTTTTATTCACACCTCCTTTATGTGAGCCCCTGCCCCATGTCTTCTTTCCTGTCCTCTTATTCCCATCACTTTCTGCCACTCCAAAGCCTATTCTTTATTATTATTTCCAAACCCCATCTTTCCTATTATTCACTTTGTTCATGCTTGTACTATATTGTATTTCATTATATTTATACTGTATATCCTTATGTATGTATTTGTCTCCCCCATTAGAATGTAAGTTCTTTTCAAACGGAAATTGTTTCATTCTTTGTAATTGCATCCCCAGTGCCTAGCACAGTGCCTCACTTATAGAATATGATAAATAAATGCTTGCTGAATAACTGAATGACTTCCTCACATCACCCCCCACATCCTTGTCTTTAATGTCATCCAAAATCCACCCCTCCATGACAACCTATATCCTATTTTTTACTGTCATGCTTCCCTGCTTTCCCAGGCATTAATTTCTGCCTTGGTCTCATGTTCCTCCCTTCAAAATTTCTCAACCTTTTAATTAATAAGTTCAACTGTACTCCACCTTGGACCTTTGAATCTCTTACCCGATTGTCCTATCACTGCTACTCCAGTTAGAAACTGCAAGCCTGGATTATTCCCACCATCCACTTCTCCAAATATCACAAAAACTAACTGACTAACTAGGTCTACTATAAATTTGTTAGCCAAACTCAGCTGGGTCCTCACCTGCCTAGATCTTCCCCATTCTAAAAAATGTCCTTCACTTGACCATTCTGTATCTTTTTTCCATTTCACAGCCAAACTCTGACATAAGCTATCTATGTTTGTTGCCTGTACTATCTCATCTCCCATTCACATCTAATCTGGTTTCCAACTTTATCATTTAATTGCAATTGCTCTCTCTAAGGCCACCACTGATCACTTTATTGCTAAATCCAAATGCCTTTGGGAGTCAATCTACCAAGACACAGTCAGGAACTAAATGAATCCAACTACAAAACACTTTTTGCAGAAATAAAGACAGAACTAAATGATCAAAGAAATATTAATTTCTCAGGTAGAGACAATATAATAAAAATGACAATAGAGTTCTGTGTACATTAACTTACTTATTCAATGGCATACTAATCAAATTACCAAAAGATTATTTTATGGAGCTAAAAAATAAAAATACCAAAATTCTTACAGAGTAATACAAAGTCAGGAAATCTCAAGGGAGGTCATGAAAAAAAAAAGTAGCAAAGAAGAGGGTCTAGCAGTACCAGATCTCACACTTTATAAAGCAGTAATCATTAAAATTATTTGGTACTGGTTGAAAATAAATAGAGAAATCAATCAGTAAATCAGACTAAATATGCAACATAGCAAAGCAAATGAACACAGTAACACAGAATTTGATAAACCCAAAGTTGTCAGTTATTAGAGTAAGGACTTACTATTGGGAAACACAAAAAAAGAAAAAAGAAGAAAAAAGAAAAGAAAAAACTGGTGGGAAAACCTTCCAGACAGCAATTATATAAAGCCACAATCTCACATTGACTATCAATTCCAAATGGATACATGACTTAAATACAGGCATACCTCAGAGATATTTCAGGTTCTGTTCCAGACCACTACAAGAAAGCAAATATCTCAATAAACTGAGTCACACAAATTTTTTGGTTTCCCAGTGCGTATAAAAGGTATGTTTATACTATATTGTAGTCTATTAAGTATACAATAGTATTGTGTCTTAAAAAAATCCAAGGTACACACCTTAATTTAAAAATATTTTATTGCTAAAAAATGCAACCATCATCTGAGCCTTCAGCAAATCATAATCTTTTTGCTGGTGAATGGTCTTGCCTCAATGTTGATGGATGCTGACTGATCAAGGTGCTGGTTGCTGAAGGCTGGAGTGACTGTGGCAATTTTTTTTAAAACAAGTCAATGATGAAGTTTGCCACAATTGATGCCTCTTTTATGAAAGATTTCTCTGTAGCATGTGATACTGTTTGATAGCACTTTACCCACGGTAGAAGTTCGTTCAAAATTGGAGTAAATCCTCTCAACTCTGCTGCTGCTTTATCAACTAAGTCTATGTAATATTTTTCAATATTGTTGTGTCTCAGGGAATAAGAAGGTCTGAGGAAAAGGAGAATGGCAGGGAACAATGGATTGGTGGAGTAGTCAGTAACACATACAACATTTATCAATAAAGTTTGTTGTCTTATATGAGTGTGGTTCATGGAGCCCCAAAACAATTACAATCGTATAAAATCAAAGATCACAGATCACCATAACATATATAACAATGAAAAAGTTTGAAATATTATAAGAATTACTAAAGTGTGATACAGAGATACAACATGAGCACATGCTGTTGGAAAAATAGTGCAACAGACTTGTTCATTGCAGGGTTGCCACAAACCTTCAATTTGTAAAAACAAATAAATAAAACACAGTTATCTGAAAAGTGAAATAAAGCAAAGCACAATAAAATGAGGTATACCTGTATAAAAAGTGACATCATAAGCAAAATGGAGAAGCAGTAAAGAAATTAACTTCCAAGTTGATGGTTAAGAAAGTCATAACTAAACAAGGGATAGAGAGGATCACAGAAAATAAAATGGACAGTTTTAATGATATAAAATTTACAAACTTTTATACAAACAAAATAATTAAAATTAGAAATGAAATGTAATTGAAAAAAATCTTTGCTGCAAGTTTCTGAAAAGATAAAAATTAATATTACCTTGAGTTTCTACTGTATTGATTCTCCAATGTAACTGATTTTATGCTGTATTAATTTTATAATTGAGTCTGCATCTACCTAAAGCCACCTTGCTACACTCTTGACTTAGGTTGAGGAATTTAGCTTTCCCTCTGAGTTAGTTTAAAGGTATAATTAAAAGAAAAATTGTTATCTCTCATACCTGCAGTCCCTGAAATATTTCCAGGCTATCAATTTGTTCTAGTCCCTGTAAAATTAGGCGATATTTTATCTTTTCCAAGAATACAGCAACTCTGGTAGTTTTGATCCCCTAGCAAAGATT